TCATTGTGTGCAGAATGTGACTTGCTATACCAGTTGTTGGACTATGCTTGATTTTGTCAGGTTTGGTACTGTTCAATGCAAGTCATCCTATACTGCATAGACCCATCCATACCATATCACTCAAACTCCAACGGGCTCATTCTGTCGGAGTTTATCAGGTTTCGTACAGTGACCTGCATGTACAAGTACATAGACAAGTACATGAACCTGTTGGATTTTGTGAGGTTCAGTGTGCTTTCTAGTGCAAGAGCCTAAGGGGTTAGGGTTAAATATATATGTATGTATAGATGTACATGACTGTCATGACCAATGTTAAAGGCGGCAACAGTGCTATAATGCGCTAGAATAGAGTGGCATTTCGTATTCTTTTTTATTAATGGTATTTGCCCCATCACAGCGCTTTCCTTTTTTCCCTCACGAGAAAGTCCATTGGGTGACTTTGATAAGGGTGACAGTTACGTGTCCCCCATTCTCACCTGACCCACCCAAATGTTGCCCGGAACTGAAATTTAAAGAAATCTATTTCAGTGTTTTCAAAAGAAATAACTTTGATACGACCAAAATTTGGTAAAGCTCTTCTTTGGCACTGACAAGGAAAACTTTAGCTATTTACAAGTGACCTACAGTACGTGTAAACCCTTTGTACCACCAAAACTGAAAGGTATCACCTATATTTTGACTTTGAAGTGTCCTAATCACAATGCTGTTGTTACACCGGTGTGTCATATGATTGAAAGAGAGCTCCTGTATAAGTTGACAGCAAGCGTTAATGTGGTACACTATTCACAATGATAGTGATTACACATGCAAATGACACTGATAACATTCCAGTACTGGAGGGTACTGGCCCACGGCTTTGCCTAAAACTCAGACATGCACATGTACACAGGCAGCAGTAGAGTATTTTACTTGCATGGTGTCTAGGGAATCCCACTGTGAAAGCAAGCAACACTTCTAAGTTAGCCCCCTAAACTGGCCAAATGTTGAAGGCCAGATATGAACAAGGCTACTCATAACAGCCAAATATGGAAGGGCTGCATAGCACCGTGATCAGAATATCTAACTGAATCTGCTTGCCCTGAAGAAGGTACTCAGTTACCGAAAGCTCGGCAATCGCATATTTCAGAGCACTGCTTTGATATTGCATTCTTGTCGATACTCATAGCAGCCATGCTGGTACACACTTTAAATGTAAGGGGACAATTTCTCCTGCAGTGACATATATGTAGCATGCTTGCAAACAAGAAATCAAAAATTATGTTTTTTTTACTGGAAACAAAGACCTGACATTTCACCCTAACAGGTCCTTTCTCAAAGGCAAATCTTATGTTAAAAGAGGTTAATTCTGTTTGGCTATTTTTTACATTTATCCATTTTATGCCCATTTTAAAGAACAAAATTTCTTTGCACCATTTTGTTTTCACACAAATTCTTTCCGAGATACAAAGAAATTGGCCAAATATTTGGTTGGTACAATGTTATTAGGAAGGAAGACCTTTACGACCAGTGTGAGACAACAAAGCCTTGTCCTTGTCAGCAGTAATCAGTTGCTTACATACACGTACCTCCTGTTGGATCTTCTCGATGTGATGCTTGTGTCTCTCCTGCTTGGCTTGAAGCAACTGAATCTTCTCCTTTGACAGCATCTGCTGGATGTCGCGCAGCCGATCCTCCCCACACATGGCCCAGGTGGATTTGCCAAACTTGTGCTTGTCATTTTCCAACTGGCTTATCACATCTGGTGCCGGGGAAAAAAAGAAATGCCTTGTCTTACAATTTACGCTTAATAGTCTTTTCAGCTGTTTAACAATATCTGGAATTTTCAGCCACATCTCAACTTTAACAATCGAGTATTTTATCGCTCTACAACCAAGCCAAGTACAAAATTATTATCCCTACTCAATGAGCCCATTTAACATTTCCCAAACCACAAGTATCTAATTTGATCACTGGCGAGTATAAGGTAACATGGTAACCAAATCTGCTTAAACAGGATGAAGAGAAGCAAAAAGGATCAAATGACTTGCCAAAGGTCACAGCATGTTAGCAGCTGCTGGAATTCACATGACATGGCATGACATATCGCATAACATGGTATGACATACATGTAACAAGCGACACCTGACAGACATGACAAACCTGAACAGGTCAGGACATGACATATACCGTGAAATATGTCAATTTTTTGCCAGGAAGCATTAGAGCCTACCTTGAGTGGTCTGGATGCACCGAGCAAAGTATTTGACTCTGATTTCATTAATGGATTCAATCGCTCCTACGTAATCCTCCTGCCACTCGCTGTACTCCATGAGGCATTTCTCTCTCCTCCCTTGGCTCATGAACTCATCCTCCAGCTCGTCTTGCAGTCGCAAGAGCCTATTGAAGGACAGCTCCCTCATGTCCAAGAAGGGCTGCAGCATGACGTTGAAAGCCTCTGCCCGCGCTACTGCCAACTCGGCCAGATTGGAATCAATTTCTGAGTACAACTCGATCATGTCTAACATGGTGACCAAGTCGGTGCTCCTTTTCAAGGACTCCCTGAGTCTGTCCACCAAACGGGTTTCATGCTCGGCATAGGCCTTCTGCCTCAGCTCACTGCAGTTCTCAAAGTATTGTTCGTCGGCCACTGGGTCCCTGTTGAAGAGATAGTCAGTCAGGAGTTTGTTCCCACAGATCTGGGCGGCTGCTGACAGGTACAGCTCCAGCTGTTGGTCAAAGTCATCTGGAACCTCGACGGTGTAGAGCAGACTCCAAAATCCCCGCGGCTCATAGGGCACATTTGGGGGATGGCGCTCCAGGTCGGGCTTGACCAGACACAGCTGCTGGTGAGCGTAGCTGATGTCCTGGAGGGTGAAGATCCCCGACCAGCTCCGGAGATCCTCCGGGCTACGGACGGCATCCGCCCTTGGTGCCGACTTGGCCGAATTCTTGAGAGTACGCTTGACATTGCGAGGTCTGCTCTCGTGGCAAGTGATGCTGAGGTTCCTTTCGTGGGGGTTCCAGTTGACGAGGAAGCGGAGGCTGGTTTTCTTGGGCTCGTCAGAGTCAAAGGGTGCCTCTTTGACAGCCACCCAGTCTTCCAGGCTGTGCGGCTCCTCAAGCATTGTCAATCAATTCAAGAATTCGCAGCATGATGACAAGCCACTTAACGTGTCAACGCAGAGCAAAGAAGTTCCAGTGTGCATTAAAGTTGTTGACTAAAAATCCTGCACAGAATTTGCAAACGTAGTTACGTAGTTTATTGGTCACTGCCAAAACTGCTTATGTTGGGCATGATTGGTCGAAAAAAAGGTGATTGGCAGAGGGCAGAACTATCAACAAATCATGCAGTAAGATCAACAGATACCGAGCTAAGATCGAGTGATGGCAAAGATCAACCGATGGCACCCAATACACAAACATGTACGGAAGTCTGGACCAAACATGTCAGGCACATCAAGAATATACATGTACATCCACCTAATTATTATTATTATATGTTTGGCATCAAGAACAATAACACAAACAATACTACTCACTAGTTAAGACCAGGACAAAACAGTGGCTGCAATATGTGTAGATGTCAGGAGAAGGAAAAGTCAACTGAATGACTGCAACCCACAGGCCTCCTCCTCCAGTACCACAGTCATCGTATGGGCCAGCGCAGACATCCGGGTTATTCTTGCAAAATGACAGGTACTGCGCCTGTGAGAATAGCGACCTTGGCGACGTACGCATGCACCAGGCAGTCCGAGGATCGGGTTATACAATCTGTCTTTGATCTGTACATATGCGTGCACTCGTTGCAGTTGTTTTAATCGGTAGGGTGTGGTTGCTACTGTACTCATATTTTTGTGAAACTCCCGGATGTCCGCGCTGCCCCATACATCATGTCATCTTGTATTTTCATTGAAGACAAGACCATTTACTGCAGAATGTTTTGCATGATGAGTAAAGCTAAAATCATCTGGGGAAAAGAACTCAAGATGTGGTGGCCGGATGTGGAACTCTGCCTAATTTACTGCAAATTAATCAGATCAAATACTGGTAGCTTCAATATTTATTACTGACAGCGAAATTGTGGACCGAAAAAGCATTTGACTCACTGATCCTTCACTTCTAGGCAAAAGGAGGATTTCCCGAAGCTGCAAAGGTCCAATTTAAGTATTGACTGAGTGATCATAGTCATAGTGTTTACTGTTCTGCTGTACCTGAGGCTGTAGTAACGTTTATGAGGGCATGGAGGGAAGAGTTCCATATACCAGTATACAGATGTCAGTAATTATTCCCTACAGTGACAGCCATCGGAAAGGAAAAAATGTCCAGGAAAGTTCAATTTAGGAGCGAAAAACCAAGTCGTTTACATAGAAAACACTTTGAATTTTTCAGACCAGTCTCATTGTCATAGGGTTTGTACACGGGGTCGTCAAGTGGTGTCCGTATAAACATGGAGGTAGAATCACACCTCCACGGTATAAATTTGGAACTCTTTCCGTTGGTGATAGTGATACATATTTTGTGAACTTGTAGGCTAAATTGAGAAAACCAAACTGCAATGCCTACATGTAATCGCAAAGGTGGCCTAGGGCCTACTTCCTGAATAGCTAGGGTCCTAACCATCACGTGACCATGCTGCTAACCATGATAAAGGAATAAAGCGCATGACAAGGTTTTTCAGCATGTTCAGAATGCTACGGAAAATAGTTTCTACCTCCAAAGGCTAGGCTATGCCTACCGTACCTGAGCACGTATGATCACATCATTAATAGCATCGTCGTCACGTTTGCATGACTAATTCGGTAATTTCATCATTTGTAGGACAGTTACATGTACTCTAGCGCTGCTATGGCATGCACCAGCACTGTACTAAACCCAAGTAAACGGTACGGGGGTGTGCTGTGTACTAATGCGTACAACTATGGACACAAATATAACGCACGCCCATTTTTAGGCCTATATAGCACCATTTTAGACTTTCATACCAACAAATACTGAATCGCCATGCAAATCAAATTAAATGAAGTGTTATTTTATATGTTTTGTTACATTTTATGCTTTATTTGTCCAGGATATAATAATAATTTTTACATTTTGTTCAACCTCTCGAGTAGTATTATGAGAAAGAGTCTAAAGATGGCGACTTCCATGCGCTATCCAGATTTATTACAGAGATCAGTGGTTTGAACACAGGCTAGGCTAGCGTAGCGAGAGCACTGTTTCCCAAGAGTCATTAACAGCTAAACAGGGTGAGTGCCACCTCCTTAAGTTTTGAAAGAATGATTTCGTGTGTTCGATAGTTTCAAAACTGACTGCAGTGCTTGTGCATGGTTGTGCTTTATAATGGACATAAAGTTTGAGATCTGTCGTTATCAGTGGTTATGGAAGGGTCAGGTTCCTGTTTGCAAAGCTGCAGACCGGTGCAACAGAAATTAACAGCAGCCAGTCTGAGTACTTTCATTATATAGCTAGCCCCACTCCTCCTAGCTGTAGCACAGACTCTAGTCAGGCCATGTAGCATGTTAGCCTAGAGTAGTCCAAATAATTACAGTCAGTAGCTACAGCCTCTAGGCCTACAGCTATGGTTGAGTGTGTTGCATGTGTTTACCCCTAGAATTATGGGGCTTCTTGTTCTACCTCTTTCAGATCGAAGAAACCAAATGACATGAATGATGAGCCCAATAGTTCTTGGGGTACTTTGTGTTCAGAAAAGCAATACTAATAAAGGGAAAGAAAACCAGACTTTGTAATATTCATACTAGGCCTATGGCAATTTTACACAGTAATCCTCAGCAACAGGTGCCTTTTCCTGAGTTCAGAATTTGACATCATACTATTCCTAACATTAAGCATGGATCTTTCTCTGTTGCATACATGACATGTTCGTGTACCCATACTGAGTGCTAGAACTTTCCTTGTTTCTCCTCTTGAACAGGTAACATCCTTAGAACAGATTTGTGGAGATTACCAAGACCTATCGTATTGCACTTCACTGAGGTGCATCAGACAATTTGATGAAAGCAAAATTACATGTACTGAATACTCAGCAAAGATAACTTGAAGAGAAACAGTTACCTCTTCAGGTTTTTGTTCTGTGGCAACAGATATTTGGCTCTGCAGTTCTGGTGCCAATGGAAATTCACCTTGGCTTGGTGCTTCAAGTGTTTCTCTTTGGTGGAATCTGCCAACTAGATTCACCATACACAAATGACCTCATTGTTACTATCCACAATGCATTATCAGAATGGTGACTGCTAAATGGAAAGATTGAAGCAGTAGCTGGTGACAGTCACATGGTCCTGTAGGGCGTCATCAGTTGTCGACCATCCCAACGACATTAGACTACAGTAAAAGACGAAGAGCTGTTGCTATGGCAACCTCCACAACGCCGGCCTCGGATGCCTTCATCAGCTCACTGACCTCCATGGTAAACCGGGAGGACACGACGGCCATCCTCCAGGCCCAAGTGCGTATGCTGAGCCGCTTTGAGAAGACCAACGAGATGCTGTCCAACTTCAACAAGCTGTCGGCCAGCCGATACGAGAAGACGGTGGAGCAGTTCAAGGAGCACACTCAGGTGTTGATGGAGTTGAAGAGGGACTTGGACATGATCTTCAGGAAGATACGGTACTGGGAACAAGTCTAGGAATTATCTGGGCCAATGAGATTTGTAACTGGCATATTTGTGACCCACGATGTGAAAAATAAGTCTTAAGTCGCTGAGCCAATTTTTGAGTTTTCATTTGCATTGGAAAGAGCAAATTTGAGTTTTTAGTTTTGATGTATCACTCAGTTTGGCATCCTGATGAAAGTGCATACTCCATGGTGAAAAACGTTGTGGGTTCCTATTGATTTAGTGTGTGTAAAATTATTCTAAAGGACTTTCTACTCTAAAGTGGCTCTGGCGACTTAAGACTCGTTTTCACAGTGGGTCATGTTTGTGCATATTATAAAGTAGATTTGTAGTGGAGTTCTTTCCAAGCACTTTTTACCACCAAATATTGAGTTGATCATCTTGAAAGCAGTGAGAGAAACATCATCAGTGGACAGCAAAATTTAAGGTAGTCCATACATGTAGGTGCCTTAAAATTACTCTCAAGCTTTTGGACAGAAGTACTCAAAAATAATCAGAGCGAGAGAGAAAATACTTTCCAGAATATATTGTTCTAACAGCTTAGTTCTTATAAGATTCTGATTTTCCAAAGTGTTTATTTTCTCAGTAGTATTGGTATGCCAATATCTGTGCATGTAGTGTCATCCACACCATCTTACTATGAGGCAGAAAATTTGATTCAGAGCATTCGACTATATCTCTGTCACAGTAGGTTTAATTTCTTTTATCCCTTCTCCTGGCAAGCAGTATAAAGTAGGATGCACATAAAAATCCATCAAGAATGGTAACTTTCATTGTGGTAATTTACTTCCGCATTGGTGTGGTAGCCTTTCTCTTTGTTCCTGTACTGATTAAGGATGGGTAGACTTCTTTATCTACCAGATTTGCATTTTATTTCAAATACATGTAAGTGGGGGTTTTAAAGCATTTTACTGCGTTTTCAGTGTCCTGTTCAATGCACATTGGACATATCCATCACTGGAATGAAAGGTAAACCAACAAAATCAAGAAATAGCGAAGTCACTTGGCCTCGGATAAGACAAAAGCAAAAGGCACTAGGAGGGTTTGTATATTTTCAGTTCCTCTCCCGGTTTCCCTGACCATCCAGTTGCCTATTTGTCCCTGATGTAAGCCATCATGAACAAATTACATGTACATGTACTTATAGACCTCTTCTTCTTTTTTCAGTGTGCTTAAAGACAGGTTGGCATCTGAGTATCCTGGGGCTTTCGAAGGTAGGAATTTGGATAGTTTGTATCCTTCCTCTTATCCAGACAAGTTGTTCTTACTCAGTGACAGGTGGAGATACATGTAAACCTAGCCTGTCCATACAAGCATCTGAATCTTGCAGGATGCATTTTAACTGCTGGCCACTTTTGTTGTAAATTTGAGAAGGTTTGCGGTAATGCTGTATGAACGATTAATCTTTTATGAGTGTGTATGGTTTTGGAAGCACCAGAGGATTTACTCTTTGCTGTAGTAGATATGCTTGTCAGGAAGCTGATTTTTTCAAGTCAGCGGGATATTGTTTTGACGGCATGTTTTGGACCCAACATTTGATTTATATCTCACGTCTGAAAGTGTCAGTGAACCATCGAGACATCATTTGGAAACTTCTTCGGATGTCTTGTATTCAAAGCTGATATCCCTGAGATATATTTTTGTCTGTTGCTGATGGTAAACTTTCTGTCTTACACAGCTGCCTCAGTGAATCTCATCAGAACCAGCGATGAGGAGGATGAAGGAAAGACAGGGGCAGAGCCTGACGATGTAGAAAAGCAGGGGGAGGTTGATAAACCTACCGATCAGGGCTCACAGGAGACATCACCACAGAACCACGAACAGTCCATAGAATGAACATCTGAGGAGGCAGTTGTGTGTGACCTTTGGCCGTGGACTTAATGTGCACATTGTGGCTTCATTCCTTGTTGCAGAAACTTTGTAATGAAAAGACAGCGGCTGGTTACTGCATTAGCTGAGAAGGACTCTGGGTACATCAACCCCTCCCTCTTCCCCTCTCCCACCCTGGTTTTATTTTGAATATTAGTCACCATTTGAAAAAAATGTAAATGCCCTCAAGTGAAATTTGAAGCAAGCGAGCCTGCGTCCAAGCTTTTTGGCAAGACAGATGAAAGCGTTGGTGTTATTTTGACCGTAGTGCTTATTCTGTGCAAAGAAAGGAGTGGACACTTGTAAATACTCAACATAGCGGACTATTTAAAGAGAGCACCTTGATTCTGAAGTTAACTTAATATCACACAAAACTTCAAAAACTCCTGTTCCCCTATCTTGGGGCCTGCTCCAAGGTGCTGTGTACCACTTGTAAAGTATTAATTTTTTGAAATTCTGATGTTACAGTTTATTGCCTCCTTTCATGCATCCATAAACAGTGCTGTCCACTTATAAGACAAAGTTCTGCTTGTGCCACTTCTTTTGATGTAAACAGTTGAATAGTGACATCAACTTCCTGACGTGGAGCAGTTAGTTGACATTAACAATCTTGCAATGTGAATAAAGCTGTTTCTTGTTGATTCATAATTTGATTACAGGAGAACCCCCATAAACTGTCTGGTTATCCAGACTGACTTGATGGCCAAACTTAAGACAAAGAAGGTCACAGATGAAATGACTTACAAGAATCTGACTGTTGCATATAATGTCGCCATAGCCATTGCACGAGACAAGTAGAGGACAAAACAGTTTTGGAACTGCTTGCTCTGGCCAGCTTGTTCAGTTAAAACATTTCTTATTGCCCATAATGTCTAACCATTTCCTTGGAAGTGGAAAGTATCGAATTTGAACCATCTGGAGCATCACAAGCCTTCGGGGGCAAACAATGAGTATACAGAGTTAAAAATACACACCTCGGGCAGGGAAAAAAATCCAGAATTAAACTATTGGTAATTTTTACTGTTCCAAGTACTGCTGTGTATATCACTGGTCATTTGAAAAATTAATCAAAGTTGTGGCAAAATTTGTTTTTATTTGTAAATATTTAAAATGAAGAAATAAAGAAGAAGCCCTAAAAGAATACTTTTCAACAAAGTAGTTGTGTTTGTGTTAGTGGCAGCGTCGAGGCGCAAGGAAATGATAGAATTGGTCATATAAGGACGCGAGAGGGCGTACTGCATATTTAATCAACTTTTGACCAATCGCTTTCGGGTGCGATCGTGCCGGTCACGCGTTTTGGAATTTTCACTACAATTAACTTGGCGTTCTAGTTTGCTATTAAGTTCCGCGATTGAATGAATTCTCATAAACTTGAAAAACTCTGGCATTCAGTTTGATTTGAAAGGTTCGTGTGTTGGTGGGACGTGGGTTGCGAGTTGCGAAGTCGAGGAGAATTTGAGAAAGAACTTCAAGTTCACGCCCACGCAGGTACATAGGCTAACTGAGTAGGCCCTACCGGTAGTAACTAATAGTATTAGGCCGGTGATTGTGCAATTCCCTTGTCGAGCTTTAGGTCTAGGCCTAAACAAAGCTAGCCTGGTTAGGCCTGTAAACATTTAGATGTTTGGAAACGATTTGTCCTGCCTGAAGTAGATTTTTTTTCCAATCAGGGGCCTTTAATCCATATTTCTACAGAGTTTTGAGAAGTGCTTTGCTACTATGGTAGGAAATATGTGACCCTCCTTCCTTTTTCTAGTTAGGCCTAGGACTAGAGTAACATTAGTCATGGTAGTAGAGTACTGCTACTACCAGGCCTACTACTAGTAACTAGGCTAAATGTTAGGACTCTACCGAACTGTTGGGCCTAACGTCACGTTTAAATCGCCTTTTTAAACATCATGATTTGGAAATGATGGTCATGCAACCATATCCAAATGTTGAAAAAGAAATTTGTAGAGGCCTACCGGGTACACGGCAGACTAGGCCCATGTCTACAAATCGATAGTTGGGCCATTCCAGGGCTTGAACATAAATTTTGTTTAAAACTGCACTCGAGCATGTCGAGTGTAACTATGGTAACCTTAGACATGGCATCATTGTTCTCTGTGCCTGTACTGTGTGCGTTTGCCACTGTTGGCAATAATTTCCATTATTTACCTCATTTCCCACACGGTGATTCTTGTATAATTTCACAATGGTGATTAAATATAATTGCGATCATAGTATTTAAGACTTAATTCAGTAGAACTACTCAGTGGTAGGCCTATTGATCAGAACAAGCACGAAAACCCTCATCTATTAATACAAAGGCCTAATTGATTGGACATTATCTGCGCTTTCCCATTCTTTCTGCAGACAAGATGGATGAAATGGTGTGCAACTTTAAGAAATGTCGGAAGAGACTCAGCTCATTTGCATGGGTTACGTCATGCTCTCGTATCCTTAACAAGATTTCAATGCTATTTGAGAGAGTGACTGGCATTTTCAACCAGTGGATTTGTAGCCATATAACTGTTAATTGAGACCAAGGGATTCTGCTAAAAAAGCCAAATATGCATTCAACTTCAGAGGGGTTGTTGTATAGAGCTTTTCTCTTGAATACACTTCATCAGTTATTCACAAACTCTATTTTGGACAACCTGCCAAAGAATTCCTTACTTTCCTTCAACACTCATGCCTTAGATATATTTTGTGATGAGGATGGTACTAAGGAATTCAACAAGTGCTTCGCCTGTCCAGCATGTGAGTTTCTGATTTGCTTCATTAGAGATTTGCAATTGCATGCGAATGTAGTCTTATGCTGTACAGTAGGATGTGGCACAATTTTTTTTTTTTTTTTTTTCACTAAGGTGAAACCAACCTGTCAGGGAAGTTTGACATAGTCCGCATTGATCTCTCACCTTCGGAGCAGTACAAGTCTATGGTACTTGCAGGGCAGAAACCAGACACCATATTGGAGGTGTGCACGCGAGCTATGGCCTTCTGGACATACCAGGTTGGTGCACTAGATCATATTCCGTTATCAGTGGTGAAAGGTCAGGTAATACATGTGACAAGCCTCCATAGCAATTGCTTTTTATGGGAAATGAACCAAATATTGTGATCGAGTTTTTACTGTTTACGCCCCTTTTCTGTGGAACAGACTGCTAGTTTTCTGGAGAAATATTGACAAATTAGGAACTTTTATATCACAGATAAAAATGTGTCAAAATGTGTAAAATCATGTTAAAAGATGTTAATTTTAACTATTTGTACTAATAATCAACTGATCTACTTTTTGGTTCATTTTTATGGTGTTTTGAGATTGTGATGTAATTAAATGCTTCATTAAGAATAAATTATTAATAGTATGAACATGTGACCCACCATAACAAAATGGAGTTACAAGTCACCAGAGTCACTTGTGAGGCCATCAAAGAGAATCTTGCACAATATTACCTAACAGGACCCCATCAATTGTCTTTTTTCCCCAGTAAACTGAACAATACATCAAAACAGTTAGTCTGCCCCTTAAAATAGCAAAGTGAAACAAAAATTACTTAAAAAAACGGTCTCCAGACTCAGTTTCTGGGATCAAACCCCAAATGCAAAGTTTGAAAAATATTCGGAGGAAATTCCGAGAAAATAATAGTCTGTAAAATAAATGGGCTCTTCTGAGCACCTCCGTTACGTGTACTGTGTCTGCATTCATACGTAACTGAAATCTTGAAATGTCATTCCACGTTGATCATCAAGTAAAGTCATCATGTCATTTCAGATCCAGCAGGAGAGAATCTACCAGGACTATGTCGCTAACAAGTCCAAGGAACGAAGCGCCCAGCTGGAGCAGTACTACGAACACACTGTCACCAAGCTACAGTCAGAGATTGCATGTATCCTTGACTAAACTACTGGAGAAATTGTCAATGTTTCTTTGTTTTCGTATCTTACGGTATCTAAATTTCCTAATTTACAACCAGCTAGTCATGTAACGGTAAAACGCAGATTATGTTTCTGGCCATGCCTTGTACTCATGTTTTTTTGAACATTGAATTGTAATAATCCTCACCAGTATTTTCTTCCAAGAGTCAATCAAGCCTTCGTCTCAACTGCCTTGTTTTTTCATACTCTGACATAAGTGCCGTGTGTTATCTTGGTAGTGTTATATTATAGGTCTTTCTTTCAATGTTCAAACCAAAGTCTTTATTTTTAACAGCCCAAAGAATCATTTGCAGATGTCAGAATAACATCATTAGTGGAGATCGTTTGCTGTCCTATCCCAATATCAGCGAGTATAGAGTAATATAATAATTCATTGTCTTTAGAGTGGAAAGATCAGCTTACAGACTATTCCTTGACTAAATCAAATATTCAGCACTCAAGCACCAAATGTCAGGTGAGTGATACTATGCTCCAGATATTGTGTAAAAAACAATCACTCAACCTGTAGATTTATGAAGAGACGTTCGTAGAAACAAACGTGAACATTTTTGGCAAGCTTTTGCTCAACTGCGAGTCCACACTTTACAGTATTGTATAGCATGGTCAGGGCCACATGAACTCAGAAGAAATAGACCCCTTTTGTGAAGGCGGAGTCAGAGGTTATTCTTTGTTGTTTTAATTTAATTACAATGAATGCACGAAAGTTTTTCTCGAGCCTATCCTAGAGGAAGAAAAAAAATGCTCTCTAACGTGACATCATACCCAGGTTGTTTATTTATCTTCAAGACTTTAAGTCCGTAACTTCAGTCTATATTTATCATTTCAATCAGCGAGAACTTAAGAACTGTAATTAGTGGCTTAAAGAAATTGAAAAAAAGGTAGGACACAATGATCTTAAAGATGGAGCAGCTTGTAGTAGCACTGTAACCACTTCTAACCCAAGCGAGTTTACCTACCGATGATGTCCAAACTGCATACAACTTACCTGGTCATACAGGAAGATGTCTCCTGCCATACCCAAGCAAAACCCGCACAGCCCCACCCCTAACTTTACCCTAGCACAGCTTTACCCAGCAAGAAATGAGACCGAGGGGTACCCCCCAACATGTCAAATCCCTATACACATTCCAGACTATTGTTACTTAACACATCCCCCCAAGATGTCTGAAAGGAATTCTCCAGATTCCTGCGAGACAATGACCAACACAAAGCAGGGGGGGTTCTCTCCGTCTCATACCTTGCTGCATATGAGCACAGCACCCAGCCAACTGTAGCACATGGCTGACAAGGTTGTTACAAAAGAATCAAGCAGATGCCCTGCTTGACTGATGCATACCCTGCTGGGGAGTGGGGTGGGAAGTGGGATGGGTGAGAGGGGCAGGTCAAACCAGAGGTCAAGGGGACCAGGGGGGGCGGGAAGCTTGTTGACGAGATTTTATGACACAGTGATTGACAGTCAACAGTGCCTTGGTTTGGGATGTTTTATGCTAGCTGTCAAAAAAGAGCTGGAATCTTCCAAGAAGCAGTACCATGATCTGTCGGACAAGATGGCAGAACGTACCAGACAGCATCAGAAGCTCCAGGTAAAGCATTATTTGTGTGCCGCTACCATTAATATCGACATTGATTCTTTGAGGTCAGCACTTGGCATTTGTTGAGGCAGTCGACAAGCAGTCAGGCACAAATTTGTTCAAAATACCCAAGAATATGCGCACAAAAGATTGAGTTTAAAATATGAAAGAATTAGAATGTATCCAAAAAGTGTACAATTTCAGAGAAAGAATTGTTTCAAAACGATTTAGTACATGTAACTTTTGGGGGGGTTGATCCATGCTTAACCACATGCTGCCGGGTGGTTTGAAAAAAGCAGTGCACACATACGGGAGAATTTCAAGACTTTAGTTTTCAAAAATCTTCAAAAATTCATCAATTCAGTTAATGGATGTTTACACCCACATGAATTACTCTCTGGTGGCCACTGTAGCCTGACAGACAACATCTATTGACGCCAAAGTATTACAGCCAGGCTTGCAGCCTTGTAAAAAGAGCCCAGATTGTGCGGTGTTATATAACTTTCTTATGTTCACGAACCTGGCATAGTGCGCTGCTGACCTCTTTTCAATAGAGGCCAGATTAGCGTGCAGTAGTGCTGCATGGCTCATCGCTGAGCGGAGCGCTTTTGTCCCCAGTGGTAATCCGCTCGCACTAAATGCCCAAAACCGTGGTATACTGTTTCAAAACAAGACTGGATTATATCTACTATTGAGAGTGAAAATATGTTGGTAATGCCCAGCAGCTCAGTCATTCATGCCGAGCACAGTCTTTTGTTACAAAGCCCAGCTCTTTTGTCCCGGTTTTGGGCTCCCCCACTTTGTGTATAAAGCCTATGTGCTCGAAAACGGGTCCCCCGGGCAGCATGTGGTTAACAAGCTCCTTTCTCCTGTGGAGAAACGGTTCATTTTTTGAAAATTGATGAGAATGCCATCGGGAATGACATTCTTTGATAGTAGTGTCTCCAGGTTTTGGGTCGGGCACTGAGGGGGCTGAGAAATTACTTTTTAAAAAAATGATTGTCCAAATCTTTACATTTGTAAGACAATCCTCGTTACTCTCCCCCATGGAGGTAGTGTCGTTTGTAAAATGGTCGTATCAATTCCTTAAGAAAAAGATAACATGTCTCCAAAGAAGGAAACTTGCCTCATTCTTCCCTCGGCTGGATAGCCAGAGTTTAGCACCACCTGAACATTTCCATCTTTTAAAAAAAAATTCCTTCATTTTCTTTCCAGATAATGTACGATGCTCAGAAAAGGTGAGATTTCATTTCCTTTATTTGTCCAAGTAGATTTAAGTCTTTCAAAATCAGTGGCAGATTAGAATAAGCAAAGTTTTTATGTAGGGTCATTGTGTTTAGGTGCAATATGGTTCATGGTAAAAATTCTGCTTTAAACAGCTTACAAACGTGACAATTGTCTTCAAGCCTTTACCAAATATTGCACATCTGTACACTATACAGTGTTTTACTTTTCAAAGTATGCAGGGTTCTCTCTTTTTTTCCCTGCTGACCTTAAATCTCACTGCATCTCTGTTCCTCAGGCGATCCATTAATGTAGGTATGCTGGACCCTGGCGGATCACACGAGAGCCACAGGCGGACTCAAGCAGCACCCTCCATCAGCTATGACATACCCATCTCCTCGGGGGATGGTAAGTGTCCACCTGCGACAAATTTTCATCGCTGGATGGGTTGTAGAAGACAACAGTGACGTACTTTGCCAGCACAAATTACAGTATTGGGGGAATGGGAGGTGTTTTATCCGCTCTAAGCAGGAACTAGAGAGGGCGTGTTTTTTGCAAAGCAATGACAGCCCATTGGTGGAAACTCACTTTGTGTGCGCACACAGGTTTTTCTGCGTTTGGTGCATCTGCACCTAATTTCTGTTGAAATGTAAGGTCTTCGCGTGTGCACTGGACGCATAAACGAGACTGGTTGGAAAACTTCCCAATTCAACTTGGGTCAGATACTGTCAATAGACCCATTACCATGCCACATGAGTCACTGCTCGTCATGCGGTAGCCAAACCAAACGTCAATGTGTACTTACTGACTTTGGCATCCAAGTACAGATTGCTCTCATGTTTTGCTTACAACTTGTACCTGACAGAGAGCACTAGCAGATCTGGAAGACATCGCGGTGGAGGTGATCACATGAGAATGATGTCACCTGCAGAAAGTAAGATTCATTTCTTAAAACAACATGTATACTTTTTCTTGCCAGAATAAAAATCCAATCCCCAAATCACTTTCATGTAAATCTCCCTTTGAACGAACAAGCATTTCAAGGAGGGCTGGTTCCGCTCCAAGCGTAACAAAAAAGGGTGGTTAATTTTGGTACTCACTCCAAAGGCACGTGTTTATAATGGAGATCAATGACGCATTAGACGCGGTGCGCGCTGCGTTCATGTAACGAATTCATTCTTTAATGTATGGTCTTTGCGTACACGCAGAATGCGTGCAAGAACTCACTTGGAAAACTTACTACCATCAGTCTTTCTTTTGCCACTTAGGGGGGAGTGCACTTCAACTCAGTGCGGATAGCCACTCCAATTGCCCCACACCTTTTGTATAGATTTCCTTTTAAAAGTACATGTACATGCAACCTACAGCAGGGCTGTTGGTCCTAGTCGTTCTCCAGAAGGGATGGTCACCAGCCCCCTTCTTGTCTTGCATTGCACAAGTGAACACGGGCCTGATTATGTTGGGACAGCAAGAAAAAAACCCAGCATCCACACTGATTGAGAGAATGGGAAGCATTTCTATAATCGCTTATAATATGGTCCGAGTTTGTACATCTTTACAACTTCATCCGTTGTTGAGATTCCTGAATACTTTAATAGGCAAGAGGGAAACGCATCATTGTTTTTCCATATCAGCCACAATTCCCGTAAAGCCCACCTCAGAGTACAAGAATGAAGAGCTTCGAGTAACATTCCGGCCAGTAAATGTTTTACGGCTGACATTGCAAGTTTCTCAGACTTTGATTTCTCTGCACTCTTTGCTCTGCATATTAGAGGAGTTCGTGCTGCGCCCCACCAACACGCCAATCCAGTCCATGCCCTTGGCTGTGCAGAACCGCTTCAGCATGGAGATAGGAACGCCCAATGAGCTCGCCCGACGGCTGGGACAGCGAAAGACCTGACCAACAGGACGATCCATCCTTGCCACCTTAGTTACGGAGACTCCTTGGATTAATCTGTTAACATTGTCTTTTCAAGGGGCGTTTTAGTATCCTTACACCCAGTAGGCCGTTTGGCCATCTTGTTTTGTTCACACAAATGCAGGTTAGAGCATAAAACCTTAGAAACTTGGAAGTCCAGTATTTGACTTTCAGGCAAATGTGGACATCCCATTTTGAAATGCTCACTCAAACCCCGAGTGTTGAGCCTAGGAACAATCTTTACTACGATATAAGTCTTGAAGGTTTGCATGGTGAAGAGGTACAATAGAAAGTAGGTTTGCGGTAGCACCATGGACGTATCTCTTTTTTGAGTATTTGCAGTTCTGAAAAGAACCAGTGGTACTCGACGTTTCGTGCAGTGTGCTCTGCTCGTCATCAGGAGAAACGTCGAGTACCACTGGTTCGTTTCAGAACCGCAAATACTCACAAAATACTCACAAAAGAGATACGTCCATGGTGCTACCGCAAACCTACTTTCTATTTTACTACGATATGGTGAGCAACAATGTAACTATATCTCATATAACGTCTTGATGAGACGCTCTGCGTAGAAGTTTACTTTTACGCATGTTTTTAGCATTAGAATGAGAACTCTCCATGAATGCCCATAATTCCTATTGGACCCAAGGAGGATAAAAGTGTTGACGTTGATGTTGCATGCTGATTTCCACCTTTGAGAAACCCGTTCAAAAGTCTTTTACTCAAACGAAAGTCTGCCAGTTTCCAATGCATTTCACTGCGACAGGCAAGACACATAATAAACTAAATGGTCTAATTTCACTTCAGATTTGTCCAGCAGTGCAATTACTGGTCAATGAAAATAGTAACGACTAAATTACACTGTAGTACCAACACAACAATCGGGAAAAACAACAAGGTTAGAGGTTCACACTTAAAGGGATGCTTGTTTTTATTACTAAAAACAACCTCTTTTTTAAATTCGTCTAACATCCTAGAGAAGAACTATGGTCGCTGGAATGCATCTGGGACCTTTCTGAATCATCTGCTGCTTTTAAAGGAAAGAAGACCTTTTTGAACAAATGTGCTTCCATACCAGTGTGTGAGAAGCAACTTTGAAGTTAGTCAAGTGAGCATGCCTCTGAAATGCGGCCAACAGTCCAGTCACGAATAGTGGTAAATGACCTTTTAAAGGTGCCAAAAAAAAAAAAGGGCTTGCATTGTCCTCCCAATTTTAAGACTGTCAACTATTGAAAAACAGCCAATTACTTACAGTTTCTACTAAGTAGCACAAGCAACTATTAATCAGCTTCAAAAATCCTGTTCAATTCTTGCACCTCACCCGGTAATGTCTGGAACTATTTCAGCAAACATCACAAAACTGAACAACTTCCACCCCTTCCTCTCAAAAAAAAGTCCCAGGTCTTACGAACACGGCAATCTGGTCTGCAAGAACACTATTCACCAACGTACATTGCTCCACATGCCTTGATCCTGAGCTCCAAATGGGGGGGGGGGAGACTTTCCATCCATACAAAGGGTAGGACAACATTCCTGAATTGCTGAAATCAGTGCATTCGTGTGCACACGGTATGCGTACACTTCATTGGGATTTATAGTGCTGCAGTTCACACTTTTCTGCTGTCTGCTTAAAGCAGTCGCTAAACCACAAAAGTGGGGTATACATAAAAGCTGCACGAACCCTGTAAAGCCATACTGTCTTGGAGATCAAGTTAACTTTCAGTGGACAGAAATCTCCTATGTTACTTAAACTTAGCTAAAAACTGCACCACGCATACTGATCAGGTTAACCATACGGTACCTTACTCAATTCAGAAATTCTGAGCTGCTTTGTCTGTATGTCCTTGAAGAGATACTGCAACATCATGTACAACATCTTCCAAGTTTAGAACGTCCGTTCCGCATTTCAGAATACAAGCGTACCGCTACCGTAAACAAAATACTAATCAAGGAATACATGATTTGTACGAAACTGCTTCTCTCATACTCACTTTTTATATTGAGGTTTACTTTTCATTAACAAATCTTACAGAGTTTTGTTTACTGGTAACAAGTGAATTACAAATTTCAAAAAGAAGGAAAAACGGGGAAAAAACACTGCAGCAGACAAAAGAAAAAAACCTATGAAAAGTTTATCAAAAATATCCACGAGCTTTTTTTTCTTGGAACCCTGAAACCGAGCCAGCTTGCAAACGCTGGCATCGCTTCACCCCCCTCACAAGCCTGTCTCCTGCCTACTTATGGAACAGCTCCTGGAGCTCAGCGTCAGTGGTAGCCTCCTTCTTCTGCAGCAGATCTTTGTCCCCCTGGGTCACGCCCCAGCCATCCGGGCTGGAGACCAAGGGACAATTGGGGCGTCCACTGGCCGGCTTCAGATTCTCCCAATACTCCCGGCGAGCCCTGAATTCCACCGAGAATAGGAACGGATGAAGGACATTCATGACACTGTGTATGAAGCTACTGTCAACAATGCCAAATAATTTGGGGATTTTTCTATCGGAGGTGTTCAAAATAGGAGGTAAGATTTTGTCAACCTAAAAATCAGAGGTGCACTCTGCAACAAAAATTGAAATGACCATTAATAACTGGGATTAAAATGCTCACATTTCAAACAGTGACAACAAACAAGAAAAGCTGTATATGAAACCCCATAAAGTCAAGTCTAGGTTCCATCCCAGTTTGCAGTGGATCCCGGATGCAAGCTCTATGCAGATCATAGAGACTTGACTCTAGTGGGTATAAATTTACCCATTTGCACAACCAACTACGCCACACAGCTGACTGAAAAAAAGGGAGATCTGACCAGCACACACAGTAGGCATGAATCAAGCCTTCTTGAGGACATCCAAAATGGCTGTATCTACAGTCTGCACTTCCCTGTGTATTTCCAATGGACAAAAACTTAGACTTGGCTTTAGATAACAGATTCAGCAATAACTGCATGCAGGAGCCTACCTGGCGCGAACCCATGGCTTGGTGTGCTGGCGCAGGCCGTCACCCCACAAGCCATGCTTCTGCGAACCGGGCGGCAGGCAGCCCCGCTCGGAGGCCAGCTCCTCAGCGATGGCCCGCACGTGGTACGGCTCCATGCCGCAGCAGGCGCCAATGTAGCGCACGCCAATCTCGTAGGCTTCGCGGGCGTACTTGTGGCAGTCCCAGCGGGTCAGGATGCGGGGTTCCAGACCTGCCAGGAGACGGTGAAAGTCAACATTTTATTATATGTTAGATTTGCACTGCTTTTTTCAGTGCACAAATGCCTGCATTTAAAATTGATTGAAAACAAAATAAGTTCTCCTTTGTGAGTTGAGAAGATGTGAATATTTCAAAATCTAAGTACCCAAGATTTCCTGTTAAGTGTGATTGATTTTTCAAAAGTTTAAACAAAAGTGGCCAACCTCATCCAAATTAAAGCGTGCATACTTCCACAACAAAATCCACTTGAATCCTTAAAAATCCACCAGAAAGTAGGGCAAGACCTACTCCATCCTGCGAAGTTCTCCAAAACCTCCAAATGATTTTTCTTAAAGATCCGACAGAGTCTGAGGTCATTACATATACATCAAAGAAGGAGACATCGTTGTCACTGACATTAAGTCATTAAATTGTCTATGAGATCGGTGCTGTTGATGAAACTATTTTGTCCTCGGCTTTCAAACCAGGGAACCAACTAGGCAGAACTCTTACCAAAGGGGAACTCCGGCAGATCAATGAATCCTTGTTTGCCCACGTCGGGAGTCTTGAAGCCCAGCGGCTGAGTCATGAGGAAGGGCTTCAAGCCTTCCTTGTCCAGGGCTGCCTTCATTAGACGGATGGCCTCAAGGGTCTTGACTGGACCAAAGTGGCAGTTCAGGCCCACCACGTCAGCACCTGTTACCCACACCGAACCAAAGGAAAATAGAGTCTCTAGCCGTTATGTGCGTACACAAGGCTGCCAACTGGTTAATATACGGCATCAATTTTACACCACTGAACCTTCACAGTGAAACTGACCTGGCTGAAATGTGTTTAACATGTTCAACACAAGACAACAAAAAACTTGGTTGAGTTTTGGGCCAAATAAACGAACACGTTTGAAATTCTTGTAGATTGCACGTTTGAAATTCTTGTAGATTGACAATAAACCAGAGAATGGCAAACATTAGGTATTGACAGGCACCGCGGCTAAGTAGCAGTACCCTCCTGGTCTCTACTTTTGATACTGACCTGCCTTGGCCAGCTGAACGGCACATTCGCCAGCCGACACGTTGTGCAAATCGCCCTCCGGTCCGATGCATAGCGTAGCGGCCAACGGCTTGCCCGTCTTCTTCAGTTCTTCCACGGCCCACACTGCCTCCTCCACATGCTCAAAATACTGCACAACCAATCAAGTAACAAGCTTAGCGTCGCAAGCTACATTTCCAGTTTTTCTCTATGGATCATGACCACACTATTTCTTTGCACAGCGGGAGAACGGTGCCACAGATAGTGACTGTTCAGTGGTCTTTTGGGAAGGGAAGAAATTGGCCACTGAGAATCTTAACATTGAGGCTCTTCGGAAACATCTTAAAAGTTCCTGTTTGAGCCGGAACACTCCTTTTGGGAACACTGAGTTCCCTAGGGGAATTAGTTGTGTTCATACTGGGGACAGGCTGTTCCTTAATAATGCATACGAAGGTGCTGCCCTTTGTTCTGATGTGGGAACAAGCACTTCCCAAGTACAACAAATTATGTTCTTGTTGGAGTGGTTTTTTTTGGTGGTCCAACATTGGAGGAGACACTCCCTTTAATAATAGAAAAAAATCACTTGACACTAGCTATACCTATAGCCAGGGTTTGTACACTCAGAAAAACCAAGGACTTTCAAGGTGCACAAATCCGATTTTTAATGATCAAAATTCAGCACACATTACATACACATGGTTTGCAACTGCTGACTGAGTAAGTAAAAGGTACAGCCTACTGTGGCTGCTTCTATCGCCAGACAGCGGACATGGATCCACTACTGATGGTGAATGTTTTTTACAAACCAAGTAACCAGCCAAAGTAGCCAGTTAATTTAAGCAGTTGATGGCGTATTTTGAAATCCCATTTGAAATCATTTGTCACCAACATTAAATAAACTCCTCTCTCACTGGTACTCAACTATCTCTGTGCATGAACACAGCTTTGGATGCAAATTTTCTCGTCCGTTTCCTGTTTTGAATGCAATCTACCCATCGGAGCTTATCCCGGAATTTGGCAGTAGCTATTCCTTTCTTTTCCTTACCTCAGCAATGAGGAAGTCCACATCGTTCTCAATGAAGACCTCGGCCTGCTTGCGGAACTGTTCCTGCACCGCCTCCTTGCCCTTCCCCGAGAGGTAATTGGGGGTCTGGGACACGCCCCCGGCCACCAGGGCATTCCCCTCTTCCGCAACCTCTCGGGCGATCTCGCAGGCCGCGATGTTGACAGCTGCACCCTGTAAAATATGTGGGCTGAGTGCACCATCTGTTTTGATCGTACTCGGTTTATGGGCAAAACGAATGTTATCAGATGGTAGGGCTGGGGGTCGATGCCCTACTTTAGATATCTTACCAAGCATGCTTACCTTGGAAGACAAATTTGCTTAACGTAGTGACAAAACAATACATGCGCAAATGTAAGCTCAACCAGGCTTAGCGCTGCCATGACACAGTGCTGAAGGTTAGCAAATTTTTCTGCTAGGTTAAGCACAACTTTTTCTGCTGTCAAGAAGCTTCATGAAATTGGACAAGGCAAAGAAAACTTGAAAACCCAAGTGATTTGATAAAACCCAAGTGTTTAGAGGGGTCAGATGCAGTACTGCCGGACCAACAGATTAACAGAAGTCCTCTCAATACTGAGAACCAGCACAAACTCTGAATGCCAAAGTTCCCCCCCCCCGGCTTTGGAACAGTTTCCACCCTAATGGGCACTCTAACTTACAGTATGCTTCTCTTGGGACACGTTGCCACGGTTTTCTAGTTTGTCGTCGCTACCGTAGAAAGTGAACGCCTGCATGACATCGGCACCAGCGCGCAGGAAATCCCGAGCAAGCTGTTTAACTACAGATGGAAGCAAAAAGATTATCCTATGGTATTTCCAACACCGAAACACAAAGGCAGGGACATACCAATTAGCTATAGGCTGGGTTTATACTTCAGGCAAATGTGAAAGCGAAGCGAAGCTTGTGCATGGGCGTCACCAAGATTTTTCGTCTAGGGGAGGGGGAGGACACTTATTCCAGAAGGGAAAATTTTTTGGGGAGGCGGGAGGGTTGGAGGGCACACATGAACAACAAACTGATACACCAATGACAATGGTAGGCGTCAATTTTGAGATTTTTTAATTTTTTTTCTCAAGCAAATGGGTGATTTCCAGCCATTTTTTGCCACATGGAAACTGTACTCTCCGACGAAACCAGCTTGCACACGAGACGTGTAGATCCAAAGGGACAGAGCTTACAGCGAGGAGCGTATCACAAAGTCAAGTCATTCCCACACAGACTTGAAGCAATTAGATGTTCACCGACTGTAAAAATCTACACAACAATTTCCTGGGGCCACAAACTGGCTTTTGTCTGCTGTGCCGTGCAATGGTCACAGATGTTTGCACATCGTGAAAAGTGGCACACGTTTGGCACCCTCTTGGCACCCTCAGCTTTGCCTCTGGTGCCATCTACCCTCTCCCACTATGGAAGCAGCAGGTTGATGATTCCACTCAATATCACTCGATACCTGGTGCTACTGCCAGCTTACAAAGCTGAGCAAAGTTTAAATATTGTTTAAAAAGTCACTAGACATGCTAGACTTCCAGTCCGGTGGCCCGTAAAAGTTACCGGACCGAAACCACTTTTACAAGACTGCCCTAATACTTCCTGTTTGAACACCCGCTTTGCTGTTGCTAGATTTTTTCTGTTACACTGGGTGAATTTAAGAATGATGTCTGTTCTAACACGCCCTATAGTAAGATGAACAAATAAAAACTAACAGTGCAGAACACTGGCCAAAAAAATGCAAGACCATTCAGCCTGTATGGTCATGGGCTTCACAAGACTGACATCGCATTCACGGGTCAGAGGTCAGAGGTGAAAAATTCGGACCCTTATACAGAGCAATTTCAAATACCTGCTTCCGGAAATTCTATGGTTGCCTCTGGTGTCCAGGGCCCAGCCTTCACGTATCCGCGCTTCTCCAGCGCAAACACATAGCCACCATCTCCAATGATAACTTCCCCTGCGTTCAGCCGCTCCAGAAGGCCCCTCTTCTCCTGATAAGAGCAAAAGCATGTGTACACAGAACACTGAGAACAGTGTCAACAACAGGAAAAGTTACATGTATGGTAGATTCCCGTTATAGCACTCTCAATGGAACAGAATTGAGCGTTACAACCACACAGCACTATAACTGACTGGATGGACGCGCAACCTGTGCATTGCATATGCGCACATGTACTTCTATGTACATGTATAGATACATATATCTACCGGTACATGTACATGTACCTCATGTATGTGAATTTTGTTTACATGTACTGGCAAATGTATGTACCCTAATTTTCAGAGTACATGCCTTGTATCTGTTTATCTTGATGTTTTCGTGACACCAATAAAAAAACCTCTTCAAAAATCACCACGGGACCTTATGCATGTTGCATGGTGAAGCACGCACAGCATCTAAACCCACCGCGACATCCTGACTGCTACTGCGTAACCACTCATGAACAGTCCAATCGCTGACTTTTCCCTATAACTATGTGACCACAGAAAGTGCTATGTCATTAGAAAACCAAAGTAAAACAGATCCAACATGTCACGCCGAACAAAATCAGCGAAAAGACGAGATTTGCTACACAAAGATACGCGTACAATTTAAGCGGCTGATTTCATTTATCGGCAGAAAGAAACCTTTAGGTAACAAAATACTACATGGAGTATCTCAATGTTGATTATTTGTGTCCCAAACTACACCACGAGAATAAATATAAAGTGCGAAAATAATCACCCACAGCAAAGCCACACGGGCGCGGCTCACCGTGGGGAGCACGTGCTTGCGATCACACGGCATGGACAGCCTAGTGCGTGTCTGCACTCTGTGTGATCGCCAAGCTACTGGTGTCCAGGATGGCCAGCCAATCACGGCAGCCCTGCGATACGGTTTCATATGCGTTGATTTTCAAAGGATCTGACTTTGCAAGGTAAATAGCATTGTAACCAGAATCATTTCACACGCATTATTTGGTTATCGGGGCCGGGAGCGTTATATCCTGAAAAGCGTTGTAAACGGGAGCGCTATAACCGCATAAAATGTACACAGTGAATGGGCGTGCAGTTGGGGAAATGAAAATAGAGTGTTATATCGGTAAGAGCACAACATCAGGGAGTGCTATAACAGGAATCTACTGCATTTTACCATCATGTTGGTATGCAATATGCACATCAGGGGAAACAGGCGGCAAACTTTACATTTTCAAACTATAACGTCCCTTATTTCACAACTTACTTTGAAAACCAATCAGACTTGACAATACAAGTAGGTGGCAAAATTAGGGACCTGGCCACTCTACGGTCACTGACATCAGTTAAAAAGCACAGAAAATGTACAGCATCCATTAAATAATCTTCTAACTTATGGGAATTGTTGCTGGGAATATTCTGTTTCCTCGACAATTTGTTTCTTCAAAAAATTCGTTTCAAAAATGAACTGTACATGTATATTTTGATGTGAGCCAGCTTCACGTTACTTTTTCTATACAGTAGCCATTGAATAAGACATACAATTATCACAATGACCAAACGACTGTTGTTTGGTTGCAGTAGTCAGTGTCATATGGCCAAGCAGTTAAGGCACATAGCACTAGTCCTGTCAGAACATGAGGCTGCAAGTTTAAATCATTGTTTGGCCTGTTTTAAGGTCTTCTTCCTACCCAAAAAGTCACATAATCCTTGTATTTGTTCATACCAGAATCCAGGCGAATTGCAAAATGTTTCACTCGTCATTATGTGAACCTTGACTCCTGAGTTTTATTAAAAGGGGAAAAAATTACCAAATAGCATTAGGTCTGAATTCCATCTTTTAAACACAAATTCAAAATGACAATGCACGTATGGAACTAGATAAATGTTTGGTGACTATAACATGGCACCTGAATCTGTTGTCTGCACCCACTAAAAATATGCAAGGCCACACTGACAGCAGAGACAGACATAGCCATAGCCCTGGAAGACTGCTTCCAACACAGTCTAAGTCCCCCTCCCCCACTCACTGCACTCACTCTGTTTCAGTGCCCGAGTGCCCATTTGACAGCAAAAGCATGTACTGGCTCACGATCAAATATCCACTGCCTTTTGCTAGCAAGGTAAAAAAAAATCCCCATATTGTACATTTACTGGTATCCTGTGGTATTTTATTTGACCTTAACACAATGGCATGGAACTGCTATAGTGTAAGTTTGAATAGACCTGAAACAGACTGGTGTCATGCTCTGTGTACATGTGGGAGTGGCCTGTGGGAGCTCTATGATTGCACCCCACCTCCATGCCATAGGAAAAGTGTACATGAAGAACATCGTTTGTTCAACACAGGGCCTCCTCTTTCGCACTGCAGTCTGTCTACCCATTTTTCATAGGACTCCTGTTTGTGGAAAGTTAACCAGATTAATGACGAGTCACTGCCAAATAGTAGGGACAGAAATGGGATTTTT